TTGAAACCAAACTTGAACCTTTCAGCACTATGCACACTTCATATATTCCTTCATTTCAGCAGTTAACTCTTACCTCCTTGAACCAAGCCAGAACACATACACAAAAATCCTTCCATCTTCTCACTTCTAAAGAAGCAATAACTGCAGGTCAAGGTAACTTCAGAATGGCTTAAATTTATCGTTATTATTTCTCTCCTATAGGCTATTTCACTTCCTCTTCTGCTACAGAGGTTTTGGAAATTTTTATGTGCCTCCTCTCTTCTTCTCCCAGTAATATTTTAGACTGATAAATATAATTCTGAAGAATTTGGAGGGATTTTTTTCGTAGAATATTGGAAGTGACAGGGAGTGTCTTGTGGAGTGTCTTGTGGAGTTGCAGAATATGTCAAAGGTATTGTCTGATGTGACGTGGTGTAAGAATACACAGAAGAAAGCACTGCCTTTGCAGGAGACTTCCTTGTGTTGCACTGATTAGGTACACTAGTTTCTCATTTAAGCAGTTTTAGATATAAACCAACAAAGTTTTTGGTGGTTGGTTTGAATATTAATTAACAGCTTGTTAATTGGCACAGTTCCAGGAAATCTCCTTCCTCTGTTACCCTGCCTCTGCCTTATTGAAAGGACACTGGCAGCAGAATATTACTCCCATTAAATCTGATGATTTTCCCATTTATTTTCATAAACTGCTCCTAGACAGTGTTTAGCATACTGATTCTTAATTTTCTAGTCCAACAAGTGTTTGTATCCATTATTGTGGAAATTATACATAATACTTAAATTTTATACATAAGAATAGCTTGCTATTTATTACTTTTGATCTTTGTCCAAATCCTCTTGTATCTCAGACTTATAAAATCTTTTCCAAAAGAGTAACCTTTCTATTTTGAGTATGTATAGTTGTATTTTTTTTTCCCCCCAAAATAGTGTCTGACATATTACTTCTTTAATAGTCAAGATGCATGTTGCTCTTGCTCTTGGCTTCTTTTCATAACTGTGGCAGCTTTAAATAAGTATGGTAAGGCTAATGCAAAAAGTCAAAAATAAAAGATGAGGGTGTTCACTCCTTTTCCTTATTCTACAAATATCAGCTTGTGGCTGATGCCAGTTGCAGCTGTAATGCTTATAATTACTTCTGCTGAGACTCCCGGTCTGTTATAATTTAGCTGGAAGTTGCAAAAGTCTCCTTTATTCCTACAGGATACCTATTGTTCAGGGCTGAGATCTAGGACTAGAAAGTATCCTTTGAAAGTCTGGGGACAATTGCAAAGAGTGACTATTGTATGATATTACCAGAGCTCAGAGTCAGGTGTTAGACTCCCTATACACCCAAAGTCTATGATTAAAATCCTTTTCTAAGGCAATGGAGCCATGGATGAAAACCCATTTCAAAACTAAGTGTTCTAATCAGTATATTAGTACAGAAAATAAGGGTGACATTTCCTCCCATTCCACATCCACTTTTAGAAGATTGAGTCCCCTCAGGAATCCTACCTCAGGAGAAACCTTTGTAGACAGAGGTCAGCCAAAAAAGTGGAAGCAGACCACTTGCAGAGAGGTGCCTACACAACAGAGAGGTTTGGTTTTTTTTGTCTCTCATTTCTCATTCTGCTGAACATTTATTATGAGCTACCCCCAGGCAGCTCCATGATACATGAGTGGGAAGTACCAAAGACATGTTTATGTTTTAGTCACGGAAACACCCACACTATTGCAATAAGCAAGCAGTCTAATTTTTATCATTACATATGTTAAGTAAGTGAGGTGGACCAAAAGAATGAAGGTCTAGACAGAACAGAAACAGGGATATAACTTTCCAACCTCTCTGTAACAAGCAGAACTGAAGATATTGTAGCCCGTATTTGTGCAAGTCTGATCTGAAGAAGGTGTCTTGCTGTAAATCAGCATGCTTCTGTTCCTGTGTGCAATTAACTATATTTTCTATTGGCCCAAGCCACATATTTATCAGTTTCATTCTTTAACTGGATGCATGAATATATCTTTCTTGGTACCTCTCAAAGTAAAAATATGACTACCATACAGCATCTCTGTACAGATAAACTGAACACTAACTCTACAGGAATTTTTATGCTACTATGGATTTACAATCATTTCCCTGATTTGGTTGACCTGAATTGTAACTTTTCTTCCATATTCTTTTTAAACATCTCCTTATAAACATTGGAGCGCTTTCATCTCCTTTGCAAGATACCTGACTTGCAAGTAACTTTTATGCCATCATCCCATTTTCTTATTTCTATATGCACGTTTTACTCCCCTTGACAATGCACTCATACAGAAGAAAGAATAGACACCTTAATCCTGCTTGGCAAGATTTCCCTTTTAAGCTTTAGTCTCAACCAGGCATGTGTAGTGTTTGTTGACCTTTCGCACCAGACCGATCAGTCCATTGTGGTCCAAAGTAAGACTTCCTTTTCTTGGCAGGCAGCAGGGCAGAGTTTGATGACAAAGCCTTTGAAGTATAGCATCTGAAGCCCCTGGTCTAAAAGCTGCTTGAACAGCCATGTCAGTAGTAAAGGTTGCTATAACATTTTCTTAATTGTAGTGTTATTGCAAATAATTTGAAAAATTCTGAATCTTTAAAATTTGCTGTTATAGAGAATGATTAATGAATAAGTCTCAAAGTGTAAATCTCTATTGCCATTACACCTGACTGTCTCCATGTTGAATTCAGCAATAAAATGTCAGTGAATTCAACATGGACAGGAACATTGTGTCAACATGTGACGAACATACTCTTTTTAAAGTAAATTTAATTCGTCAAAGTATCTTAGGAGGAAGAGATCTGGGGTGCTTAAATGCTATTAATGTTAATAAGGCTTACCCGTCTCTTTCAACAGTGTTCATTAATAGAACAGAGATCTTAGTAATTTAGGAGACAGAAAGGAATAATACATTGTTATATCTTTTCCAAATTCATTATTATAAATGCCTATCCACTTCTGGGTGGAGGTGGGTGAAAAGATATTTGAAATTTCAGCATGGCATATCATATAAATTATAAAAATGGTTCCAAGTATTCACAACCTTTATAAATCAAATGACCATAGAGAGAAAAGAAAAATGTTAATTTATACAATCACATTTCCTGAGGGAATCTGACAGTTGTTATAGTTTGTTCATTGACATTGAGTAATGGCATTAGTTATGATCAGTTATTTAAAATATTTTTCGAAAAAAAGTATTTTAATATGCTTAACGACATAAAGCACTATTAGGCACACGTATGAATTAAAATTGAAAAGATAAAAAGAAAGAGAATTGTGTTTCCAGTTCAATATAAATTGGTCTGAATGGACAGCTTGCAATATAAGAACCAGAACAAACCAGCTGTGGTTTCTGCTGTACTCTAATTTACATCACCTGAGTGTGGAACATGAATCTATAACAGTATTATAGTATGGTTTGTAACAGCAATCTTTCACTTTGTTATTTTCGCATTTTGCCTTCTCCTTTTCCCACCTGTCTTTGGTGATGATTTTACAGTAGAAAACTCTACTACTTTCAATTAAGTATTATTCTATGGATACTTCTTGGTCTTTGGTCATGTGGTTTATCTCCGTGAACTTAAAGGGAAGCCTTTAAGCTCCAGTTATTCTGCGTGAGGAAGGAATGAGATATAGGAAGAGAGATTAAAAAAATTCAAGACAGTACAGAGCTCATGCTGTCATGCTTATAGCATGACAACATCAAAAAAGACATTGGTTGAGTGGTAAGAGACTCTTGGTCTCTTCCCCTTTTTTAAGGAGCTCTGAATGCACTGTTCTAACTACCAAATAGACTCCTGCCAAGGTCATAACAGAGAAAAATGATACCAAGATTTCCCATGAGCTTCTTCTGTGTTTTATTTGACTAATGAGATGCTAGGGTCTTTATGGTCTTTCTACACCATACATTAAGGGAGTAATCTGGTGCAGCTCACAATATAAAGTTCATGAGTTTGCATGAAAAGGATGCAATTTACGCTACGGTAATCAGCACTGTGGTACTCAGGTGTGAATAGTTTGTTCCATGTGCTTTGTGCACACGTGCCATATAGAACTACATTGGCTCTCTACACGCACTGTGACTTGATGTTCACATGCCTGTAAAGGCAGGGCACTTTGATGCTCCTTGCATCAAGTCATGATCATAAAATAAATGGTCAACTTTCTTGAACATCCACACATGCCTTTTAAGTTACATTAAGCTCTAATGAAAAGTCAAGTTGTCAGTTAAAAAGCATGGCCAGTGTAATATAAACTCTGAAAAACCCAGACTGGTTTATTAATTTGTTTACTACCCTAGTCTCTATGGGCTTTTTTACTATGAAATGGAATTCTCCCCTCTCATCTGTGATTTTTATTTGGTTATTTGATATTCTTTTATTTATTTTTTCAAAGACCAGAACTTTTCATTCTTCCTACTTTGTTTCTCTTAGGAAACTATTTTTACTGTTCTACATTGTCATTACTTTTCATTGTCCTATCTAACTTGCCTAGAACCATTGGAAATGAACTATGTTCCCTTTTTTTTACCCCTCTGCTCAAAAAAAGAAATTGACTGAGCATGATAATTGGACAATTGCAACAGCACAGCCAGCATTAGTACATTTGTAAATGTAAGGATCTAGTGCAATACATACGACTTAATGCAATAAAAAAGGGAAATTTTCTGCATAGGCCCAGATTATATTGAAAGATGTACTGCTCTGGGCTTGTAATGATTTGTATCGCACAACACAATGCAGAATGAAAGGACTTGAACTTTGTGACATAAATAGGAATATATGAGTGTGTTTCACATCAGAGCTAGCAGGGTCTGAAGATCTGCTACAAAAAAAATGTGCTTATCCACCATCTTACATGAATATTTTTAAATTAAACATTACACCATTATACATGGTAAGTTACTCTGCCATGTTTAACATGTTTAACACATAGTGGCAGAATGTTAGAGATTATTTTAAACCCTTGTTTTATGAGCTATCATGAAAAGCCTACCATATTTTGCCGGATGAATGGCACACTCAGTTTTGCTTTTGATGGACAGGAGGACTGAAGAGAGGAAAAAGGAAGTGGAGTTAAACACAGTCTTTCCATAAACTCATATAGAATGGAATTTTCTGGTATTCTGTAAATAGATATTTTCCTATCAACCTTTCATGTTTATGGCTATAAAGATATGTTTTTCGTACAATAACATATTTTCTAATAATAATAATAATGCAATCCTCTGATCATTTTCCTCCCTATTATTGGATAGCATTTCCAGCAACTGTGCAAACGCATTTAACTACTCAGGGACCCTGATGCCAAGTTGCGGAGGATATTCTTGTAGCAGTGACAAATAGCTTGCTCGTGGGCTGTGCAGAGTGTTGTTCTGGCAGCAATGAAGTTGTCTGTGTGTCTGTCACTTGGTTAGGCTACAGAAAGTCTAGGTGGTTTGACATTTTTTTTTTTTCGCCTTTGGAGAACTTTGTTTTAAACTTGCTTTTTTTTTTTCTGGTGAATTAGTTAATTTGACAGCAAGGTTCTTAGCAGACCCCTCACAAGTGTTACATGTGAGTACCTATATGATGAAAGAGAGAAAAAAATCTTCACAGTGCCATACTTGTTTTCCATACAAACCTACATGCTGCCATTACAGCCACCCACATATCGTTTGACAACTCACGCATCAAGCATCTTAATGAATCAGTACTAAAAAACACAGTGTCCCTGTGTAAAGCCAGATATTTTAAATGTTATTCTGACTTTACACCTTTCTGGTGAAAAATTGGGGTAAACTGTGTGATCTGTAAACAAGAAATGAGGGACAGGTTCTATTTTACTGCTCATATTTCTCATAATGACAGCACTCTAAGTTACTGATTTAATTTTAAAAATACAATTAGTAAAGCCTGCTGATTACAAAAAAAAACCCTCACAACTCTTAGTAGATAAATTAGCTTGTAGATATGTACAGGCAATCCCTACAGTGTCTTTTTTGCTACTTAAGAAAGTATATAATTTAAAGCTTCTAGATAATTTATGGGTAAAATACAAACTAGCTGACACTGCTGGCTAAAAAATAAATACTCCTCCTATTTTATTTCTGAGTTTATAATTAATGGTAAATGTGAAATTTAAATAAAAACCCAAAATAACAAATATATGAGTTATTGTATTTAAAGACAGGAAACAAAGACTTCAATATTTGTAAAAAGACGCAAGAATAATTTAAAATTCTTTGGAATGATAACAGATCTACTGCATAAAAGCTCTGCTGAATGATGTAAATCTAGACTAAGTAAAAGGAAGTAAACTCTATTTTCATGAAAGTCAATATACAATGGCAGTGTTTTAAAAGGGTCTAACAGGCTTTTAATCTTATAAAGGAAAAATGTTTATTTTTGTTCTTTCTGTATATATAGATGTATTTGCTGATTTGATTATCCATATTGGCAGATCAGTTTAAATAGACTTTGAAACAGTCTTACATTCTTTAGCAGACTAAGTCACTGTACTGGTTTTGCATTCACAAAAATGTTTCTAATTATTTTTTCCTTTTTAAATTCCCAATATAAAAAAAAATAAATCCTACTGTGGGTAATTAGAAAAATAATCAAAGAACTCTAAGTATAAGGACTCAGAAGAGATGTTGAAAGGTATTTTAGCATTATAAATCAAGGGTACAAAGAGGAAATTTCAGCTAAAAGTGATGTTTGAGTCAGTTTGTTTTCATTGTGACTGGTGATAGTACTTAAGTTAGCCTTCTAGACTACATGGGTATTACTAAACTAAATTCATCAAATTTGCAACTATATCTTTGCCAGAAACATTTTTGAAAAGAGCCAACAGCAGAGATTTTCTAGCTTTCATCACTTAGAAGCACAGAGTGAGGCTATTGATCCTAAAATTGCTGGGATTTTCGAAGGAGACTGCTTGTTTGTTCTGTGCTGTTGTCACTGAAGTGGTTAAAGCTTTGTTTGTTTGTTTTGGTTCTGAATGGCTCTTAATGGATTAAGCTTTCCAGCTTTCACCAAAGCTGAAACTGTTTATTAAAGTATCAAGATATAAACTAACCTCTGAGAATTTTAACAAACTATATGAGGCCATGCAGTCCTAATGACTTATCCATATGGATCCTTTTGAAGGCTTTGGTGTGTTTGTTTTTGCAACTCATACCATACCGAATTATTTTAGTTGTTTTGGGGAAACAAGTCTATGTGAAGTTGGACATTATAATGAAATACGGATTCTTTTCCCTCATGGGTTTTATGTAGGTGCTTTAAGTGTTTCATCAAATCATCATTATCATGTGTACAAAATACAGCAATGAAATATTTGTAGTGTTTTATTTGCACCTATTGTTTTATTATTTATGATATTTACTGCAAAAGTGACCAAAAGAAAACCTCCGTGGTAATTAACCCAATAGACAAGCTCTGTTGTAAAAAATCACCAATCTAAAAAGCCAGAGGACATGGACAGGCATACTGCAGAGTCTTTTTGACTAACATCAAATATATTTATAGAGTATGTTATATTTGCCATTTCTACAATCAGATTTAACCAAGGTTTCAGCAGAAAATTTTAAAAGCCTGTCTCAGAATAACACAATTACCTACTGGACGTAGAGCTGATAGAGAATATAATTCACAAAATGATTGATTATGTAACATCAAGCATAATCCTTTAATTTTCAAATTTTAACATGTCCACATTTTTATTGTGCTACCAAGGATTATTCCCATTTCTATGTCAGGAACAGGTTACCTTGATGTAAGACCAGCTGTTTATTCAAACAGTTAAAAACTTTTCCAAAACTTTTGAAGAAGGGCTTCAACTTCAAAGTTCTCAATTAAAAAAAAAAAAAAAAATTATTAAAATCAAATTACTGGTTTGGTGTTGGTTGGATTTTATTTGTTTGGGGGTTGGGTTTTGTTTTTTTTTGTATGGAGATATCTACCCTCACAAGATGTTAGAACACCATCATTCTATTCAAAGAGGTTGCCATTAGACTTTTTCATTATAGTCTTTTGTACAGTATATGTTATGTGGAGTCTAAAAAGAGGAATAATAGGAAATCTGAATCTTAACACCTATTGTTATTTTAAAGATTTGCATTTCTATCTAGTCCCAGCTAGAGGTAGTCTTGTACCAGGCAACATCCAGATATACAATATCTGACTTAGAAAATTTCAGTATAAGGAGAAGTTAAAAAGATTGTGCCAAGATAAGAAGAGATGCATGTGCATGGGAAAACTTAGTTGATATTAGGTACTGAATGAGACTGTAATTATTTTCAAAAAGTACTCCATCCTGCTGGGTGTATATAATTCTAATATCTTATACCTTTTAATACCACCTATGTATATGCTTAGCGATGAACAAACAAATTCAACTTCTGTTTCTCCTTATTCATCTAGTTGTTCCTTAACAGCTAGTGTTCTAAGCCAGAGCTCAATAGATAGTGACTACCAATATTTGGAAACTACATTATTTTATACGTACAGAAGCATTGGAATTCTGGAGAAACCCTCAAAAGTCCTTTTATTAACTAGTGTTAATTGAAATAAATAAGAAAATTATGGAAACCTGGCATAAGCAAAACTGCTTATGAGATTATATTCAATGAGTCATTGATTTCAGTATAGGCTAATTTTGGCTTTATGGTGTCTCTTATATTTTAGATAAAATCTCACACATTCATTGGAGAAATAGTTACCACTAATATTTGAGATTCCAATATTAAGAGATGTTGTTTGGTTAAGTGCAATACATTGATATTGCACTTTTTTGTTTGTTTGTTTGTGTAAAAGTGCAAGAAGAAAAATTCATTACTCCTCGACATTATAAAAGCTTCAGGAGGAAAAGTGTGAAATTGATGTAAGGTTTATGGTCTAGTTTATGGAAAATACATACACTGAAACCTCCATAAATATTTGCAAGAGTCATACAGCTCGAGCAGTAAAAACAGGCTCAGCAGCTGAGGGCTCTAAAGAAACAATTTTCTATATGAAACATCATAAATGGATGCATTCAACATTGAATGATCCCACATCCACAAATGGTTCAAGGAATTGAAGGAAAGTGTTTAGAAACAAAAGTTTTGTAAGCATTATTATCAAAACAAACTGACTCCAGTGAGACAAAACATAAGTATAGTTAAAGGACTGGCCCCTGGGATGTCATATTATCAGAAAAATAGATTTCAATCACTTCATTTTTTTCCTATGATAGAAAGTTACTCTGTTTTTAAGACCCTTTTGTGTAATTTTACTAAGGCAAAAAGTGCAACTACCATTCTAAAAGGTGGTCCTATAACTTATTTTCCTTCATATAATTCTAACCTATTTTCTGAGAATATATATAAGTTGTTTTATTAAGTTTATTTCATTAATCCACAGAAAAGGATGGAAACACTAGTGTTAACATTATCAGTGACAGTGAGAATGTTTTAAGCACCTATGTATGTTTAAATACCTTTCTTTTTTTTTACCACAACTGGTAGTCAAATTTGCCTCAATTTTTATCTCAACTAAATTTAAAGTACTTTGAGAGAAATATTTATCAGAGAGTAACCATAATCTAGGAAAGGGAGTAGAATGAAGGAGTGAAGAAAGAAGTAGAGGTACGACCTGTTCAGACAAAGTGTTATGAGGATTCATTTTTCTTTCTCTTGTTTCACAGAATCATAGAATGGTGTAGGTTGGAAGGGACCCCTGTAGGTCGTCTTGTCCAACCCCCATGCAGAAACAGATTCATGTAGACCTTGTTGCTCAGGCACATGTTCTGATGGCTTTTGAATATCTCCCAGGATAGAAACTCTACAACCTCTCCAGGTAACCTTCGTATGAATGTTTTAAATTAAAACAAGTACATTTAATATATTAAGATATCCCTTTATATTAATTTTCTAGAGGATTTCCTAGCAAATTATGCAGTCTTGGAGTTTGTTACTGTAAGTCGATCAGCCCTCAAACTCTATCAGCCTTTTATTTGAGGTATGACTCCATTGTAGATGGGTAACATTTTTATTGGGATAGGTCAATAAATAAGAAACTTCTAAAGAACTTGGTTCAGGTATGTAGCATGTGTAGTTTGACTGCTTCTAGAATGTGTATTGATACTTCTAGAGTCATAGAATCAAGCAGATTGGAAAAGACCTTTAAGATCATCAAGTCCAACCATTACACTAGGACTGCTAAGACCACCAATAAACATATCACTGAGGGCCTTATCTACATGGTTTCTGAACACTTCCAGGGACGGTGATTCCACAACTTCCCTGGGCAGCCTGTTCCAATACCTGATTACCCTCTCTGTGATGAAATTTGTCCTAATATCCAAACTAAACCTCCCCTGGCACAGGTTGAGGCCATTACCTCTTGCCATATCACTTGTTACTTGAGAAGAGACCAACCCCTAACTCACGACAACCTCCTTTCAGGTAGTTGCTGGGCACAATAATGTCGCCCCTGAGCCTTCTCTTCTCCAGACTAAACAATCCCAGTTCCCTTAGCTGCTCCTCATAAGACTTGTTCCCCAGACCCTTCACCAGCTTTGTTGCTCTTTTCTGGACTTGCTCCAGCACCTCAATGTCTTTCTTGTAGTGAGGGCCCAGAACTGAACACAGTATTTGAGGTGCGGCTTCACCAGTGCCACATATAGGGAGATGATCACTACCCCACCCTGATGGCTAAGCTATAGCTGATGCCACTGGCCTCCTCAGCTGCCTGGGCACAAGCTGACCCATGTTCAGCAGCTGTCAATCAGCACCCCCAGGTCCTTTTCTACCTAGCAGCATTCCAGCCCCTCTTCCCACTCAACCCCAGTGTTGCATGCAGTTGTGGCCCAAATGCATGACCTGGCACTTTGCCTTGTTGAACCTCATACTATTAGCCACTGCCTCCAATCCAGCCTGTCCAGATCTCTCTGCAGAGCCCTCTTACCCTCCAGCAGATCAACACTCCCAGCCAATTTGGTGTCATCTGCAATTTTACTGAGGGTGCACTCAATCACCTCATCCAGATCATCAATGAAGATATTGAACAACACTGGTCCTAACATCATGCCCTGAGGGGCACCACTGGTGACTGGTTGCCTACTAGATGTTATGCCCATTTACTTAAATCTTTTCATCCCAGTACACTTTTTCATAATCGGCTGTGAAAAGAAACTCCTTGACCCCCACAGTCAGTAGAAACTACGGGTCATTCCATGGTAGATCTATGCTTATAAACAGTTGGGCATTCTTACAAATGTCACCAGTGTCAGCTGATACATTGCTAAAAGAACACAGGTAAAAGAAATCTGGACGCAACCAAAGTGAAGTTGCATTTACCTTTTAAGCTGCACTTGTAGCTGAAATAAAAATTTAAAAGTGAAGAGCATTTTGATGTTATGTAAAATTTTACCAATCATAGTAGCCCAAATTTACAACTTTGCTGAAGGTAAGGTACATGTTTCTATTTATACCAATCTGAAGCAGTGCATTTATGTGATAGAAAATTGTCCGGGATATAGGAATACATTCAATGTTTAAAGTTTACTGTAGTAGCTCTAACCACTGCCCCCTCTCCAGTACATGGCAGATGTATCAGAGGATGAGGAATATCTAAGTGATGAGCAGGTATTATTCTTCATACATGATTCAGTCAATCTCTTTATATATAAGCCTGTATAAGATTAATTGTGCCTGTTTGCCTGTTTTCAAATTTGTGTACTGGCACACGTTATGCTTAAAATTGTGGAAGAAGAAAAATAATGAAATTCTTCTCTGCCTTTTTTGCTACTTAGAAAGATTCTTAATTTCTGGTAAAGAACTGAACTGGGCGCTCAGAATCCTGACATCTACAAGCTTAATTGTCTTCCGAACTTTTCCACTGTATTAGTGCAAGTGACAGTGAAAGCAACTGTGTATCAGTTCTTCAGCCCTGTAGCTCACAACTCAAAGTATCACATTAAACCAGTCTTGATCCTGTACTTTTATAGTCTACATTAGACATTGATCTGCAACTCCCTGGCCTTAGTAGGCAACATGATCTACCTCTGCTTGCAATTTTCACTGCAAAACCACTTTTACTTCATGAAAATCCTATATATTATTTTGCATGAATTAGAAATTAACACTTGCAATAAATTCAGTTTATGTGATAATATGTAGAAATTCAGATAATACAAACTCTATCCATATCATACAAAAATCTTTATCTGGAATATTGATGTCAAAACTGAAAAGTCTTGGTTTTCAGTATTTATATAAACTTGGAAGGTGAAAGTCTATGGTTCCTGAAAAACATGGAAAGAATTTGATGGCTGAGGTGAGGAGGGTGTTGGCTTTATTGTGCATACTCCTGGTTTTCTTTTCAGGATTCAAATTGGAACGTCTCAGGTGGTGTATCAAAAGCTAAATTATTTTTCCTTATTTGTGCAATCTAACAACACAGTCATACTGGGGGGAGGTGAGGGGGTGGGAGGAGAAGAGAGTTAGGGGGGATTAAAAAAAAAAGAAAAAGACAGGAATAGTTCTGTCTTGAAACAGACTTCCCAGAGATGTGTATGTCTTAAAGTGAGTTGGATTTCAATTTGGTAATTAAGCAAAGAGTATTTCTTCAAGGCTTTACAATGCATTAATGATATCCAGACAGCTATTTGATTGTTTCCCCTCTCAGAGAGCTGTCAATGCTCATGTTAGCTGTATTCATGTTGCCCACTACAACATCTGTCTTGCTCACTGAAAAAAATCCCTTTATACACTGCTAGGCTTCTTTGTTTTGTTTAATTTTCATACCCAACCTATTGCAATCAATCAGGTAGCTGTTTCCTATCTTATGAGTCTAAAAGTAGACACAAGTTCTACTTCATTTATTGTCCTTGCTTAGAGTATACAAGGATAGGAATATTACTCTGGCAAATAAGATGCATAACAATCTTGATTTTCTGAGATAAATTTTCTGTGTTTCTTATTAGGGACACCGGAAATTCTTAAGCTAGCTGCTTAGACAATAGAACTTCTGTTTTAGTTTGCTGAGTACGTGCTTCCTGTGCTCATGGGACTT